AACACACAATACATTTTACACATGCATGGCAAGAGTATGAGCAGCGGAAAGAGTAAAGCATGCAAGTGCAAGAGTGTAAAGGGATTGGGATTGGAGTGTGCAAACGTAATGGAGACGCGGAGATCTTTTGGCGTGGTTCCGATAGGTGGTGCTATCGTACATCCATGTTGATGGAGACTTCAACCCACGAAGGGCAACGGCTACGCAAGTCCATGAAGGGCTCCACCCATGAAGGGTCCACGAAGTATCAACCTTGTCTATCCCACCATGGCCATCGCCCACGAAGGACTTGCCTCACTCGGGTAGATCTTCACGAAGTAGGCGATCTCCTTGCCCTTACAAACTTCTTGGTTCAACTCCACATCTTTTCGGAGGATCCCAAGCGACACCTAACCAATCTTGGAGACACCACTCTCCAAAAGGTAATAGAGGGTGTGTTGATGCTGAACTCCTTACTCTTGTGCTTCAAATGATAGTCTCCCCAACACTCAACTCTCTCACACAGTTTTGGCTATGGTGGAAGAAGGATCTGACTGGAAAGCAACTTGGAGAAGATTAGAAATCAAGGTTCAAATGGTATGAATGGAATCTCTTGATCTCAAGTTCTCAACACGTGAGTAGGTGGTTCTCTCTCCAAAAATGAATGGTGAAAGTGTAGGCACATTTTGATGGCTCTCTTCGATGAGGAAGAGGGGATGGAGGGGTATATATAGCCTCCACACAAAATCCAACCATTACACACTTTTGACCCATCTCGGTGGCACTGATTTGTGCAAGAATATGAACATTAGGAATCTTGGTGGGACCGACGGGAACAACTCGGTGGGACGGATGTGCTAGGGTTTAGGGCAAACCTCATCTCGGTGGCACCGACTTCATCATCTTGGTGGGACCCAAGTCAAGCAACAAGGTAATATAGAATCAGTCAAGCCATCTCAGTGGGACCGATTGCAACATCTCGATGAGACCTAAGTGATTGCAACAAGTCATAGAGAGCTAGCAAGGCCATCTAGGTGGGACCGAGATCCGTATCGGTGGAACCGAATTGTTAGGGTTTTGGCAGTGGCTATGTCAAGATGAACTCGGTGGTTTCGAATGGGAAATTTCGGCGGGGCCGAGTTGGAATGCAGGGTTTGGACATATTTGGGTAGAGAAAGTGGCTAAGGGTTTTGGAGCAATATCACCAAGCACTTGATCAAATAGATCATTAAGCAACACCCCATCCCCTTTTAATAGTATTGGCTTTCATATGGACTCAATGTGACCTTGGACCACTCAAACAAGAATGTAGAGTCTTGAGCTTTTGCCAATCCTTGTCCCTAGCATCCTGAAGGGGTTCCACATCCTCTTGTCCTTGCCACTCCACTGTTGAACTTCTCTGAAATATACTAGATAAAACTATTAGTCAAACAAGAGATATATTTGACATTAATTACCAAAATCACCCTGGGAGCGCTTGGGCTTTCAAACTCTAATGCCCTTTTTATTGAACCCTTGAAGTTCAAAATATGCTCCTCTCACTTCTCTATTTCTTCCTAGATACTCATCATCATCATCATCATCATCATCATCATCATCATCATTCTAGCGTCTTTCTCGTCCGAACCCGACTAATTGATTAATTCTTTGTATATGAATTTGTCAAGGTCCTTGCTCCCATAGTCCTCATCTGACGAATCCATCATTTGCCTACAAATGAGCAAAGAATTGAAAACTGCTCAAACATTTCATCCAACACAAGAGGGCGAGCTGTATGTATAGAGAAGTTGGACGTACCGGGGCGGCGCCCGGTGATGGCATAGACAACGATGTTGTGGGTTGGGCCCTTCGGTGGCGGCGTCGTGGGTTGGGACAACAACATGGTTAGGGTGAAGGTAGAGCTAGAGTGATGGCGACGTGGACAATGCTGAAGAGAGGAGAGGAAGAATGCAGGCCGGGATAGGTTGGTGATGGGGAGATTCGGGATGTGGGTCGCCCCGTCGGACCTGATGTGATAGATGTGTCCAGACGTCTGTTATCCGTCCCACATATGGGCTAGGTTTGAGGGGTGCTAGACAACCCGACTATTTATACTGGGTACAGACAAACTGGTTCAGTGGTGTTTTCGGTCCAAGCGGTGACCGGACTGTCCGGTCGAAGCATTTGAGAAGGGTTTGAGGGGTCTGGTTGTATATGCTTAGAGCATCTCCAAGAGACGCCCAATATTAGCGTCGTGTCCAAAAAATCGCAAGTTTAGCGCACTCGGAGTTAAAAATAGCACCCCAGTGGACGCTGCATAATAGAGCACGCTGTAAAAAGTGTTCAACGCGCTGGGAGAAACTGGACCGCAGGCTGTATATTTAGCGCGTGAGCTCCAGCGCGCTGAAACTTCCCACGCACGCTGAGAAGTGTCCCGTGCGCCCGCGGCCGGCCTCCTCGCGTGTGCCCGCCAGCCGGCCAGCCGGCCACGGGCGGCGGGGCGGGGAGGAGCGCAGCCACGGCCACGGGCGACGCGACCACGACGGGGCGGAGCGTGGCCAAGACCAACCACGGCGGCGGCGGGCCATGGTGGGCCAGAGCGCGGCCACGGCCACGGCGGCGAGCAGGCCACGGGCGGTGGGGCGTGGCCATGACCACGACAGCGAGCAGGCCACGAGCGGCGAGCTGGGTACGGATGCGCGTGGTTAATTTTGGACGCCTGTTGAAGATGCTACTGTTGCTAGGTGACAGTGTATTTTTGGACGTCTGCTGGAGATGCATCCGTTTGAATCCCGCTCTAATCCAGACTGTTGGGACCTGATCCATTAGTAAATACGGTGTGTCGAGCTGCAATTCTCGGTCTGATGAACAACTTTTTTTGAGGGGTTGTCCCACGAACAATTAGTTCGGTTCGATTTTTAACCAGGCAACCTCGGTCAGCTGAAAAAAGCCCAGCCAAAAAAGGGTGCTAGACAGCCCAACAAAGCAGTAGGATCCCGACGACGACACATCGTGACCGAGCTGCCGCTGCCGTCCCTCGCACTGATGGCATCGACCAGCGATGGTCATCCGGCGCATTAAAACACTATTTTGACGCTCTAAAAATTTTTAGATTGAAAATGCTTTTAGAGCATCTCCAATAGCTGCCAAATGCACGGCGCGCTATAACTAGTATTTTGCAGCGTGCCCATTGTCTGGAAAAGTGCGGTAGACGGCGCTGACTCCCGCCGGCGCGCAAAAATTGAGTACGCGTGTAGGTTCAGCAGGCGTGCGCTATTTGACGAAACATTGCATATATATTTTTAAAATAAAAACAATACATATTTCATAGATAATAAAAATGATACATAGATATTTTACGTAGTTCATAGCATAGATCGATAAACAATATATAGATAGATAAATCTACAGTGCAACTACATGAACTATGGTACAACTAGATGAACTATGGTGGAACTACACCCTACTTCGAGTGGTTCTCGTCCTCATCCGGACTAGTGTTGTCCGAGATATCGATCCACATGTCCTTCCAACGAGAATCATTATCCTCAAAGATCGACACCCCACCTGCCTCAATAATATTGCACTGCGATATCGCCAGAGCCTTCCGCCGACGCCTCTCCAACCGCTTTGCGCGGCCCTGTGTCGTCCTTTCCACCCAGAAGGCGTGCTCCGCCGCGACGTCCTTCGGGTGGCGCCAGCGCCACTCCTCCATGGCTCGCTTGTCCTCCTCGGCGACGAGGAGGCGGCGCTGCCGCCGCCAGTGCTCCACACGGTCCTGGTCCGTGATAAGACAAGGCAGAGGGACGACGTCCTGCGCCTGCTCACGCGTGAAGACGTCGTGAAAGTTCATCTGCGTCGGCGGCCTCTATAGGCGCCACGCCACCGCGTTGTACGCGCGGGGCGTCCTCGTGCGCGGTCCCGAATGTGCCGAGGCCGAGCCGGCCGCCGGGGCGCTCGCGGACGTCGCGGTAGCCAGACGATCCACGGCAGCGCGGCGACATGGTGACGCGGTGGTGGCGGGGGCGAGGAAGCGGCGAGCAAGCGACAGAGTGCGCGACAAAGTAGCGAGGAGAACGCGCGTAGTGTGGAGGCCGCGTGGCGAGCGCGACAATTTATAGGTGCGCTCGAAGCGGTGCGCCAAATCTAGCGCGCACTGTCGTCTTTTCCCGCGCGCACGCAAACGTTTCCCGCGTGCTAGTTTTCCGCCATCGCTGGAGTGCGTCCAAACATCCCGTGTGCGTTAAAGTGAAAGTTTACCCCGCGCATCTTTTGGCGTCGCTGAGACTAGCCACAATGGGAGTAATTTCAGCAGTAACTTCAAGTCCAGCTCAGCAAATTTGTCTACGTGGCAATGAGTTAATGAAGAGAGAGGTGGTTCTAGTAACTTAGCTAGTTACTGTAACATCACATGTCCCAATGCAGTATGAGTCTATAACCTAATAAATGGAGCTTTGCATGACACCACACCTATGTTACTACCCACTATGAAGGTAGTAATATAGATATGTGTATGTTAGAGGGTGCTTGGATACGTTTTAGTCCCATGACTAAAAGTAGTGAGACTAAAACTTGCTAGCCTCACCCATGCTTGGATCCAAATACTAAAGAGACTAAAAGTTATTGAGCATTTATTATCCTCCAAACCCCCCAATTCAGAACTCGCATGTGTTAAGGAAGAGGAATTAAATAAGGAGAGAGGGCTAATACATATTTTAGTAGGTTTCCTATGACTAAATTTTTTTAGCTTCAAGACTAGTCCTAGCCTCTCTTTAGTCAAGGGTGCTTGGAACTTTAGCCTCTAAAAGAGACTATTTTTAATCAGACTAAAAATAGTCCCCTAGATCCAAGCATGCTTTTACCGGTGTAGTCTGAAGATGCTCTTAGAAAAAAAGTGATCCGACGTCACCGTACGGTGTACGGCCGGTCCGCCACGTATCTCATTGCACGCGCATCCCTAGCCCGACCCCGACCCCGACGTACCCGTCCCATCCGATCCCTGCTCCCTCTCTCGCTCTCGCCGCGCAGTACCAGCAGCAGACATGGATCTACTACCGCCGGCGTCGGAGGCGCCGGCCGGTGGCGGCGCAGTTGGGGGGCGAGGGCTGCGACGCGGGGTCGGGTTCCGGTCGCTCAAGCTGGTGAACGTGTCCATGGAAGAGGCCCTCCCAGCCGAGCCCGTCGGCGTCGCCTACGGCCGCCTCGCCAACGGACTCACCTACTACGTCCGCTCCAATCCCAAGCCCCGCATGCGCGCAGCCCTCTCCCTCGCCGTCAAGGTCGGGTCAGTACTCACTCTCGAGCGTGCCTTCCTTTCGCTCGCCCTGCTCTTCCGTTCCCTTAGTTCGTTTTGTTTTGGGCGTATATCTGTATGTGGCTGGATTTGATTCGCGCGCGCAGGTCGGTGGTGGAGGAGGAGGACCAGCGCGGGGTGGCGCATATCGTGGAGCACCTCGCCTTCAGCGCAACGTCACGCTACACCAATCACGACATCGTTAGGTTCCTCGAGAGCATTGGCGCAGAGTTTGGTGCCTGCCAGAACGCTCTCACTTCCTCTGACGAAACCATCTATGAGCTGCTCGTGCCTGTGGACAAGCCCGGACTGCTCTCCCAGGCAATCTCCGTCCTCGCTGAGTTCAGCTCCGAGGTAATAATGGGCTTTTGGCCTTCCATCCACTGCCATTAACTAGTGTGTGTAGTTGGCTGATGCTCGTAAATTTTGGCGAGAAGGTTCGGGTTTCAGCGGAGGATCTGGAGAAAGAAAGGGGTGCTGTGCTGGAGGAATACAGGGGCGGGCGCAACGCCACTGGGCGGATGCAGGACTCCCACTGGACATTGTTGTTTGAGGGTTCTAAGGTATTGCTCTCTGTCCTGCTATAAACGGGAAATCGACAATAATCACTTGTTCCATCACATCGATGTGCAAGAGCGGTTTGTGGGTTTCAGTTTAAGTAGTGAACCTCTTCTATGAAGGGTAGGGTCTGTGCTCTGTGGCGCATTGTGTTTTCCTAATGGGATTCAATGGTGTTGTATTTACAACTATAGACCTTTGTAAATGGTATGATTTGTTAATGTCCTTCTGTTCAGTATGCAGAACGTTTGCCGATAGGTACAGAGAAGGTGATACGGACTGTTACACATGAGACGGTTAGAAATTTTTATCATAAGTGGTACAATCTAAGCAATATGGCTGTCTTTGCAGTGGGAGACTTCCCAGATACACAGGTCTGTATTTGCTCCCGTTGGCATACTTGAAATCCATTTATCCATAATATTACTGCCATTTTGTGTGTAACTCTTGACTTACTGCAGGCTGTTGTTGAGTTAATAAAGGAGCATTTTGGCCAGAAAGCCTCAATTTCCTGCCCTCCACCAGTTATAACGGAGTTTCCAGTTCCATCGCATATTGAACCTCGATTTTCATGCTTTGTGGAATCCGAAGCTGCAGGGGTCAGTACTTTATAATCTGGGATATATTTTGTATCTAACTGTGATGTTTCTAATAAGACACCTTTTATCTGTTTTCTTGTACCAAAAACAGTCAGCTGTTGTTATTAGCTGCAAGATGCCTGCCGGTGAAATTAAAACAGTCAAGGATTATAGGGACTCATTGGCAGAATCAATTTTCCATTGTGCTCTGAACCAGAGGCTCTTCAAACTATCTCGTAGGAGGGATCCTCCATACTTCTCTTGCTCTTCAGCTGCGGATGCTCTTGTCCGTCCGGTGAAGGCATATATTATGACATCCAGTTGTCGCGAAAAAGGCACGGTTGAGGCTCTTGAGTCTATGCTAGTTGAGGTATTAAACGGAGATAGATTCCTTGCCATGGCACCCTGCATTAACAAAAATCTAATGGTCAACCAACTGGTTAGAATAACAAAATATCATGGGAAGTTCCAGTGAGCCAATGGCAGAAAACAATTAGTACGCAAAGACCACCCTTACTTTATTGTTTGATTGTATCCTCATTGCGGAGCCAATCGTTGGCACACTGGCAATGATTTCTTAATACAGAGAATTACGCTTTATGGTTGAAAGAATGTGGTTTATCTAATCTTGAGATGTTTTGACTTCAAAGTGATCCCTTTTACAATATCTTTTCTGAAGGTTGCTAGGGCACGGCTCTATGGGTTTTCTGAACGTGAGATATCCATTGTGAGTGCTTTAATGATGTCAGAGATCGAGTCTGCATATCTGGAGCGTGATCAAATGCAATCAACCAGCTTACGTGATGAGTATCTGCAGGTTCTCATAATTCTGTCTCTTAACATTTCTCCAGTTTAGGTTTTGTAGAATTTATCTCATTGCATGTTTAGCAACCAAACTATTAACTAGGTTCGGTCAAGTGCCATGTGTTTTATGAATTTATTCTTCAGATCTTAATGTAGTTAATATTATCTCAGCTCCTGTATTTTTTCCCTGGTACTTATGCGATCAATTGTTCTAGTAATATGATTACGAACTACAGGTTTGCTTAATATATCAGTTAAGTCACATGATGCCCCATCATCAATTTGCTAAGCATACTAGTGGCATTTCCTTCACCCATTGCAGCATTTTCTTCGCGAGGAGCCTGTTGTCGGGATTGAATATGAAGCACGGTTGCAGAAGACTCTTCTTCCATGTAAGTACACTCGCGTGCTACCTAGTGTAAGAGTTCATTTTTAGGCTTTGTTATGCTATTCAATTTTCTTTTCAATGAATTCATTGCTTTTCAGTTTACAGTGTTATTCTGACAATTTTTTTCTTCAAAATTGTCTCTGTCTCTATCTTTACTTCAACCAGACATTTCTTCTGCTGAAGTGGTGAAGTTTGCGGAAAACTTTTCAACAACCAGTAGCTGTGTTATCAAGGTAGTTGAGCCCCGGGCCCATGCTTCTTTGGAGGATCTGAAAGCTGTTGTATTGAAAGTTAACACTCTAGAAGAAAAGAGGAGTATTCCTCCCTGGGAGGAAGAGCAAATCCCTGAAGAAATTGTTAGCCGAAGTCCAGTGCCAGGGTATTATGGCATTATCATTTTCTTCTTATACAAATGGAATTGATCTTTTGCTCACGATGAACCGTCTTTTTAAATGATTATTTGAATAATTTGTGTGCATTTTTCTGCCCACAGAAGCATCTTAGTATTCCGCACATTCTTACTGTTGTACTTGCCAAATTTCATCACAGAATTATTGTTGATAAAGTGGAGCACCCAGGCATAGGTGCCACTGAGATGATACTATCTAATGGGATGCGAGTTTGCTACAAGTGTACTGACTTTCTTGATGATCAGGTTAGTACTATTACGGTGCTAATACTATTTGGCAACATCCAGGCCTTTTTACCTTATTATTCTTGATGAAAGTCACACATCTGCAATTTATGTTGTAACCTTTCCTCCATCTTTTTAGAACATTTTTTTGAAAGAAAACTCTCTTGCATTCACTATGAAGTTCTTGTGGAGCAGAGGAAGGATCCCAAACCTGGTCAATGTGTGTTGTGGCGGCGCTGTTGTCCAGACAGCGTCGTGCTCCTCCTCCTATGGGTCAGCACCCACATGGGCTTGGGCCTTATGCGCCAGCAGTACTTGGGCTCTTATACAACACCCCCCCTCAAGAGGGGTGATATCTATCTATCATTCCTATCTTGTCACACACTAAGTTGCATTCTCTGGTTCCAATCCTTTAGTCAAGCAAGCAATCTGCAATTTGTTGCCTTGAACTCACATACTCTATCTTGATAATCCCAACGCCCAGCTGTTCTTTGATAAAGAATCTGTCTGTCCCCACATGTTTGGTTCTGTCATGTTGAACTGGGTTGTTTGCTATATTAATTGCCGACTTGTTGTCACACCATACGTTCATGCAACTAGTCTTCAATATCTTCTGCTCTTCTAACAGATTCCTTGTCCATAATAACTCACTCAGTCCCTGAGACATGGCTCTATTCAGCCTCTGCAGTTGATTTGGAAATAACAGGTTGTTTCTTGCTTCTCCAAGACACTAGATTTCCTCCTACAAAAACACAATGGCCTGAAGTTGATCTCCTGCCATCCAGGTAGCTAGCCCAATCAACATCACAATAACCATCTACAACAAGGTGTCCATGACTCTTGAACAACAGTCCTTTCCCAGGAGTACCTTTCAAGTATCTCAAGATTCTATGTAATGCCTCAAGATGTTCACTTCTAGGCTCATGCATGTATCTGCTCACAACACTTACTGCAAATGCAATGCATGGTCGTGTACTCGTGTATGACACAAGTACAACAATCTTCGCACCAATTGTTGATATTTTTCTTTATCCACCAGATCACCTTATGGTTTTGTTCAATTGGGGTTGAAGCTGCTTGACAACCCAACATCCGAAGTTGCCAACATCACAGAGAAGGTCCAAGGTATACTTTCTTTGAGAAAGAGCTGGCCACTTCTATACCAAGGAAGTACTTGAGTCGACCAAGATCCTTAACTTCAAAGGCCTTACTCAAGCACCTCTTTAACCTTGCTATCTCTACGCCATCACTCAGATTATAATGATATAATCTGCATAAACTACAAGAATGGATTTTTCCCTTCGGACTGTATAAAACAGTGTATGGTCACCATTGCATTGTTCATACCTGATACCTCATGTCACACACCGCCTGTCTGAACTTTTCAAACCAAGCTCTTGGAGACTGCTTCAGTCCGTGAAGGGCTTTCTTTAACCTGCATACCTTGCCAGCAGTCTCAGAAGTCAAGAAACCAGGTGGGATCTCCATGTAGACCTCCTCTTGCAAGTCCCCACGCAAGAAAGCATTCATCACATCAAGTTGATGTAAAGACCACCCGAAATTTGCTTCACAGGAGATCAGAATCCATACAGTATTCGCTACTGGAGCAAAGGTCTCATCATAGTCAATGCCGTAGGTTTGGTTGTACCCCCTCACCACAAGCCTTGCTTTGTACTCCCTCGAAGCTTTTATAAGATCTTTTAGATCACTAAAGTAGTGATCTAAAAGATCTTATAGAAGTTAGGGAGTAGTGATCTAAAAGATCTTATAGAAGTTTACAGAGGGAGTAGTGATCTAAAGGATCCAAAAGACCTTTCAATCTTCCCTTCTGCATTTTGTTTCACAATGTATACCCAATTGCAGCTGACTGTCTTCTTTCCTGATGGAAGAGGTGCCAGTACCCATGTCTTATTTTCTTACACAAAGCCTCCAACTCCACCATGGTCATACGCCATTTTGAGGCCTCCGTTGCCTTCAAGTCAGTCGGAATTGACATAGACTAAGAGAAGCAACAAACACTTTGTAGGCTGGAGATAATGCTTCATAGGAGACATAATTCCCAAAATCATTGACATCGAACGCACATCGTTTTTCTGGTATGCCTGCTTTTGCTCGAGTAGTTCTCCTCACAGCAATTGGCCAATCAATCGACCTTTCAGCCTGATCCCCATCAGAGATGGAAATCACGTAAGTACTAACCTGTTGTTCAGTCAGTGGCTGATCTAGTTGCTCCTCCTGATGTGCAACGCCATCACCTCGCTTCCGTGAATACACCTTTAGTTGTTGCTCTTGCTCTGCCGTCTACCTCGGTACACTACCAGTCTGGTGGGAGCACCGTCTGCCTGGCTCGGCACCCCATCAGTCACAATCGGTCCTTCACTCGGTGGTATTATTGGTTTCTGAGGCTGCTGCACGCTTCGCTTTACCGGAATAACATCCTCAACGGTTTGCCGCTGTTAGAGTTATATATATAGCCATGTAACCTTTCGTATTTACCCTATTGTATAAGGGGTTTCCTGCATAGGTTCCACACCTGTACATGTATATATACTGGCCTATGGCCACCTGGAAATACAAGTTGCTTTCCTAACATGGTATTAGAGCCTTAGGTTTTTTTTCGCACGCGCAACTCGTGCTCCCGATCCAATCTCCGAGCGGTCGTCGTCCTTCTCCGAGCGGCGCTGCTCTCTCCTCATCGAGCGCCCAGGCCGGCTGCTTCCGTCCTCGAGTTAGCCGGCCAACTCTGTGCTGCTCGATCCGGTCGGCCCGTCTGCTGGTCTCCGCCTCCAGCCCGAGCACTCCCATCCAATCCTCCTCCTGCTGCTGCTTGTTAAGGATTGAACAGGTGCTGCTGTTGCCCAGGACGCCAACCCCATCCCGTTTTCCAATCTGCCCCTGCTGCTGCTTCGCTCGGGGTCCTGCCCGGCCCCTGACTGCTACTGTTGTTCTCATCCGGACCCTCTGCTGGTTCCCTTTCGTTGACCAAAAATAAATAAATACAGGTGCGATGTCTCTGTCCTCAGGCTATGTTGCTGTCCCTCGCTGTCCGATGATTTTTGATGGTACCAACTACATTGAGTTTGTTGGCTTTATGCGCATTCATATGCGTGGCCTTCGTCTCTGGGGCGTTCTTTCTGGCGAGGTCCCCAGTCCGCTGTGTCGGTTCCTCCTGTGGCTCCTACTCCGCCGACGCCACTGGTTCTTACTGCCAACACTAATCAGGCTGTGAAGGATGCATCTAAGCTGGCTGATGACGCCGCCGTTCATGCTTATGATGAACGGATTCAGACCTATGAGGACGCACTTCAGAATTATCATGCAGCTTTGTTTGCTTACACTCAATGGCTTGATGATGATGCTCGTGCCGCAGCTGTTCTCACTGCTAGTGTTCTGCCTCAGTTTGCCTCTGAGTTTCTCGGCCTCTCTACTGTATTTGAGATGTGGACTCGGCTTCGTCAGCGTTATCAGCCCTCTGGTGATGCCTTATACCTGTCTGTGGTTCGTCAGGAGCATGCTCTTCAGCAGGGTGACTCCATTGTTGATGAGTTCTATGCACAAAGTTCTGCTATCTGGCATCAGCTTGATTCTCTCCGCACTGCTGGTTGTCGTACTTGTCAGTGTTGCCAGGCTATGCGGGCTGATTTTGAGTTTCATCGTGTCTATGAGTTCTTGTCTCGACTCCGTAAGGAGTTTGAGCCCCCACGCGCTCAGTTGTTTGCTCGTGGTCGTATCTCCCTCATGGAGGCGCTTTCTGAGATCCGTGCTGAGGAGACTCGCCTTTGTGGCGCTGGTTTACTTGAGGTTCCCTCTGTGCTCGCTACTCGAGTTCTTGCTATGCCCGCTGCACCGACTCCTTCCCACTCGAGTGCTCCGCCGCTCTTGCCTACTCTAAAGGGCGGCCAGGGTCGGTCTCGTCCTCACTGCGGCTACTGCAAGATGGATGGTCATGTTGAGTCTCAGTGCTTCCAGAAGAAGAAACACATGTGTAAGGCGCGATCATCAGCTTCAGGGTCTTCTTCTACTTCGATATCTTCAACCACCGCTTTGACTGAGCAGGATATTCTGCGACTTAAGTGTCTATTTGCCGCTTCAGGTTCTCCTTCGACGGGTACTGCAGGTTCTGTGACTGATGCTTCCCGCACTGAGCAACCACCCTCTACACAGTCAGATACATCCTCGTTGGTTCTGGACTCCGGAGCTTCTTTTCATATGTCTTCTCATTCTTTTTTTTTGAGGAAAGCCATCATGGCGATTTTTATTGATCTGGAATCACAGTTACATCATCAACTAGCACAACACGAATAAAACCTGGAGGTTCCTGCCAAGAATGGTTCCCCTCACTAAATCTAGCCAGATTATGGGCTGCTCTATTAGCTTCCCTAGGCCAGTGTGAGAAAATTACACGTGTAAAATTTCGGCATAGAAAAGTACATTCTTCATAAATGGCTGCCGCCACACCTAGAGAATTGCCGCCATTTTGCATGACCTTCACTACCTCCATACAATCACTTTCGACTAGGAGTTTGTTGCATCCTACATTACCTGCAATGATCAAACCATCACGAAGTGCACACGCTTCAGCGGTCGCCGGTGTATCAATGAATGACATACATGAGCTACCCCCGGCAATTGGAGCTCGTGTATAATCACGAATAATTGCCCCTGTTCGCCCTGTACCTGTTTCCTCATTAAAAGCAGCATCAACATTTAATTTCACAAATCCCTCTGATGGTTTAGTCCAGCCATGTCTGATCACTTTGGCAGTTCTGAGTTTCTTCACTCGAGCAAAGTTTAAAGCCAGCACCGAGATGGCTTGAGCTGATCTGACCGGTGCTTGCAGCGCCTCACCTCTTGTGAACTTCCTCCGTTCCCACCATGTGTACCAGGAGGCTACAGCCACAATATCACACCTCCGGATACCTGCCATCATAGGCACATTGTTAGTGTCTAACAGTAGCCGTTCAAGGGGGCCAATCCCATCCACCTCCACAAAACAAGCCTCCTCAACAATTCCATTCATA